GCGACGTATGATAATAATAAATAATATTAATAGTAACAATTAAAATAATAATGGTAAGTATAATAATAATAATAGTAATAATAATAATAATGAACTAAACTCAGTGGCACGACAGTCCATAGAGGACCAAGACCTACTGTGCCCATCTCAGTTTTCTTGACCTTGGGCTCTAGGGTGCAGGAGCAGATGTTCCGGTCAGGTGGTCAGTCGAACGCGGAACCCCCAGTGTTTAGTTCCCAAGCATGCTTGGTACTCATTTATCGACCCACTGAAGGGATGACAGGCTGAGTCAACCTTTCCCGGCCCGAGGATAATAATAATAATACTAGTAACAATAAAAATAATAATGATAATAAAAATTATAACAATAATAATAATGAAACTTTTTAATGTAGTTTTTGAGAAGTTCAGCAAATTTATTTCAATCTTTTTTTAGCATAATGTTATGTTCTATCATGCTAAAAAAAATTTAGAAAAATTAGCATCTATTAGCATGTTATGTTCACTTTAACCAGTTTATCCCGTTTTTGTTCATTTATCACTCTCGGCGTTTGATGTGTTACTTTATGCGTCATTTCGAAAAGTTTTCACATCAGCACGTTCCATCACATTTTAAAGTTTGGAGATGTGCAGCAATTTTCTCAAATTGAGATAAATGCGTCAGATAAATTCGCATACGACTTTGCTGCAGTCGAGTTATGAACAATTTTCGTTCGAAGAAATCAGTTGCAAACACAGTTTTTGATGAGAAAGATGAATTTTAAGGTACTTATGCTGAAACAAAATCTGTTACGCGGAAAAGAAAAAAAAAACTGCTGAGCTGTAACTAATTAGCGATGCTGAGGCGAAGAACTTGTGTTTAACTAAATAAAAGTTACGAACAATTTGTGCTTAAAAGTCTAACCATATTGTGGCATAACAATCACTACAATAAATAAACACCAATTCACTAGTATAATGTTGTTGTTGTTGTTAATTTACGTCGCACTAGAGCTGCACAATGGGCTATTGGCGACGGTCTGGGAAACATCCCGGAGGATGATCCGAAGACATGCCATCACAATTTTGGTCCTCTGCGGAGGGGATGGCACCCCCGCTTCGGTAGTCCGACGACCTGCGCGCGAAGTCGAGCACTTTACGATAGAACAGCTTAACGAGGACCCATACCGCACACCCTAGGTCCCTACGCAGACTGATCCAAGTGGTCACCCACCCGCACACTGACCGCAGCCAGTGATGCTTGACTTCGGTGGTCTGCTGGGAACCGTGTCTTAACGATCTGTTCACTGCGGGACTCACTAGTATATAAGATAGGCTAACTCGAGTAACTTTTGATAGAAAGTCAGCATTGTCGAAAAATCCTTTCCCCTCATTGGTAGGCTTCGGACGTGATCTGAACAAGCCTACCTCAACAGACACGCCCACTTTGACGCATGGTCAACATTGATCAGTAGACTTGATATTTGTGACTGCCTCATCGTCCTCCTCGCGCTGTTGCCTCTCAGTCTCATTTTTATAATCGTCATTGAACAGCCGACCCAATTTTTGGGTTTACGACAGCTAATAACTCCGTAGCCTTGTAGTTTTGAACAAAATCCAGAAGACAAGGGAACTCCTAGATCAGATTTTGGGAGAAATTTGCCTTCGTGGAGGACTTTTTAATGGAACTAAGCCGCATTTGCGTTACATGGAGAGGAAGACCACGAGAATCTCCTACGTTTAGCTTCACGGCAAGGGGACTCTGGCCCATGATCTGCCTACCACTGAGGATATTTCACGTCATCGCTGTGGTCGGTGCAAGCCGGATGCGGAATTCGTATCTAACAGCCATAGCCGGAATCGAACCTTGGTTCACCTCATCAGAAGGTGAACGCTCTATCTCCTGAGCCATCGCTGAGTCAGTCTCTATTATACTTAAGGGTATCCGGCACGTACTCGATTGCTATTAGCAACACAGGAGCTGCCATGAACTTAATACAGCTCTCACGACTAACGCTCAAAACTCGATGAACACAATACAGCTCTCACAGCAAGAGCTTAAAATCCGGTGAGCTTTACACAGCACTTCCTGTCCTAGGTATTTCTTAAAAGTACCTATTTTCTGAAAATTTTGACATAATTTGTGAAAAATTAAATATTATATTAAAAAGTCAACAATGACATGGTAAAAATATAGATTTATCGTTTCTTAAGGCTACAGTGGACGTTCAAAAAAATCTTTTTTAGTTTTTATGCTACACTAAAACTTTTTTTATAACTTATGTATTCTATCAAGATATGCCCTTGCAAAAATTTTTGTAAAAAATATTTGGACCATTTTTGAGAAATTTAAAATTTTTTAAAAAAAATTTCATCAATTTTAAAATGCTCCCAGCGGCTTAAATTAAAATTTTTATTTATTTTTTTTTAATATTCTTTTTTTAGAGATAAATGTTAAAAGCTTTATGCATTATATAGGAATTTTCCTAAATTTATTTTAAATTTATGACCAAAAAACAAATTTTATGTAGATTTTTGTTTCAAAATAAAGGTCGTTAGGTACATGAAACCCGATAACTCTTTTATTACTTGTTATAAAACAGAAACAAATGCATAAACTTAATCTAATATACATATAAATAACTAGAAAAAAATTTCATCTCAATAGGATGAAAACAAAGTCGACTGGAACATTTTGAATACGTGAAACATAACAAAATTTCAATTTTGAGAAAAACAGCTTTTTGTGTAAGAAAAGGGGCGTGGCTTCATAATGTGAAAACGAAACTACCCTATAACTTCTCAAAAAATGACGAAATTTAAAAAAAAAAAAATTCAGTTGAAAAAGCAATGAAACAAGTGTCTAAATATGTCCAAAAAAAAAAAAACCAAAATTTTTATCAATTTTTGGCAATATAAAGGTCCACTGTAGCCTTAAAGGAGACAAAAATAAAATTTTAAGAAAATGTATTTTGTTTCCTAAAGTTAAATTTGTGAAACTACCGTTTTACCTAAAATAGAATTTGTGAAGGTACCGCTAAACGGTAGTAAATTCGGACCCTGGTTCAATAATGATGTACCCTTTGATGGATGAAGTTTGGCATCGTCGATTTTAATTCATTTTTATGCCTCAACAGGAAGGAATGACTGCCCAAAACCTGACCCGTGTCCGCCGCTTCCAGAGGGAATTAGAGGCAGCAGAAGACAGAGCCGATCAAGCAGAGAGCAACCTCTCCTTCATTCGATCTCGCCAACGGACCATCGTGACCGGACCGGCATCTGTCAGACAAGTCCTAGTGACCACCACCGAGGAATCCAGCAGCAGTTCCACCAACTACTAAATATGAACTTTTTTGTTGATGTCATTTCTTGTACGTTATCTCGTTATGTTTCTTCATAAAGTAGCTCAGCTATAGATCCTCGTCTGCCGTTTACAATCAGGACCGGATTTAAATCTCAGTTACTTTAATTTAAAAAAATAAATAAAAAAGTCAACGTTGTCATAGTATTATTACTATTTTGTTTGTTTTGTTATCAATTTAGAGTGATATTAGCAAAGTATTGTCTGACGGTCGATTTCATTTATTTATAAATAAACAATTTCTTTTTTCTACATGCGTTGGATATTTAACTGCTTTTGAGAAGTGTATAAGATAAACTTTTATTTAATTTGCATGGCACACGTGAGCTTGTTAACTTTGCAAATAATATTTATGTACTCGGGTGCTTAACAATTTTGCTTTTTTTTTCTCTCTCTCTCTTCTCAATCATGCGCAAACTATTCCATATAAAAGAAATGAGGTCATTTTGTAACTGTATCCCAGAAAGCATTTTTCACTCTTGGCTAAAGAACAAAACCTGTAGTTATATCTGCTGTGCTTGATAATATTATGCAACCGCTTCTATTAATTGTCTTTCACTGGAATAAATTATGAGATGCAATAAAATGATTTCTGTAGATATTTGCTCATTCAATGTCTCCTCTTAACTTTTTCCTCGCATAATATATGATGGAGATGTGCTATAATTAATTTGACTTTGAATAAAGGCCGGGATAGCCTGGTCGGTAGGGCGCTGGGCCCATGTCCGACAGTTCGTGGGTTCGAACCCCGCCGGCCGAAGACTCCCCCCGTGTAGTAAAGTGACTAATGCACGTTAAATCTGTCGCGTCTCTAAGTCCTCCAGGTTCCCATAACAAATCAACGCCTCTGGGGGTACTGGATTGGAGATCGATCGTTCTCTGATTCAGGTCAAAATTACGATCTGTGGATGAATGAATGGGTCCGTCCTATAAACGGGTGCGACGTATGATGTGGCAGAAGTTGAATTCCTGGCCATAGATGGCGACTTTGGAAAACAAGAACAATCGCACCCCCCCCCCTCTGCCTAAAACAGGCATACGTCAACAACAGCAACAAAAACTATTAAAGAGCTCGTTTAGAAGCTTAAAAGACTCGCTTAAAAAGTTTGTAGATTCTTCCATAGTGTTTCGTGGTTCAATAAAATAGCTGCCAACTTTAACTCATACCGAAAATGATTTTTTAGGTAACCCATTAAAGTAATCAATAATTGACAAATTTATTTTTATATTTGGTCAGAGCTTAATCACATCAACTTAACGTATACGTAGAAAACAAATTTCTCATAGAATGTCCTTATACATAAGAACTTTATACGGTTTAAATTTAAGTTGAATTTTATACAATGATACTAAAAAATAAATAATAAAATATAAATCCCTAATAATTCCTATAAAATAAAAAATAATCCTTATAAAATAGAAAATAAATCCCTATATCAACTATCAATTTTATATCCCTCTTTTTTAAAACAAAATTATCGACAATTTTGTTCCATTTTCCACCGTAAAGCAACACAAATCATTAATATTAAAGTAGCGGCCATGAAACACATTTTTAAAATGAAATGCATGTTAATTGATTATTTGAAATGACGATAAATTATTCATTGACCATTTACGGAGGACAGACGCTGTACCGAAATTGATCGGATTTTCTTTCTACTGGACAGAGGCTATTAAATAAAACAGACGATAATGAAATTAAAAGCAGAACAAAAACATAATTTTCGCTTGTNCGCGTGTTCCCTAAAGTAAATGAACAACTATGTAAAGAATGGATTCCGAAATGACACAGTTAATATAAAACAGCAATACGTTTATTCTGCCGTTAAGAACTTTTATAAAAATTCATTATCTAAATAGAAGCCACCTCGTTACTTCAAAAAGAAAGGCAGGTGAAAAAAATTAAAGAATGGATAAAGTCAAGGAAAATTAAAATGTAAATAAAAAGTATAAATAAAATATATAGTATATAGTTGAAATTCTCCTAATTTCATAACATATTTTTTAATGTAGTTATTCTAAATATTTATGATTTTCTTTTAAATATTATATTCTCTTAAATTTAAATATCTATAAATTATATCATCGTAAATTTAAATATCTAATAACAATTGTAAAATTTCTAATGTCATTATGAACCTAAATTATTATTTTGTTTCAGTAATTAGCGTTTAAGGTTGATGTTTCCTAATGATTAAAGATGAACAAATTGCTATTAACGGCATATTTGAAAATCAGGGATTCTTAATTTATCCCAACTTATTGTTATAAAAGAATATGTAGATAAAAAAGTGTCGATATATGCTATCATTTTTCTTAATAATTAAAGTTAAAACTGAACTTTTTAAAAATAAAGTATTGATAGTGTCATTTTCGTCAACTAGTAAAACATTTTTATAAGTTTAAAATGGTATTTTACCTTATATAGTGGCCAAGAAAGTTTTTTTGAACTATGCTTATGAGCGGAAATAATGTGTTAATTACGTAAAGTTTGAAAGCTAATAACCAGAAAAAGTCTAAACTTATTTTTACAAAGAGAAAGATGCAAAGTTATCATAATATCTTTGCTTGCGATCTCCGAGATCTGTGGACACAGTGACGTCATGAGGAGGGAAATCGTAGCTTCAGCTCTAAGAGCGGAGTGAACTAGCCCATCTATTCTCTTTAGCCCTGAGTAAAGTGACTGATGCACATTAAATCTGTGAGAGTCGCTAAAGTCCTCCCATAACAAATCAATACCTCTGGGGGGTACTGGATTGGAGATCGATCGTTCTCTGATTCAGGTCAAAATTACGATCTGTGGATGAATGAATAGGTCCGCCCTATAAACGGGTGGGACGTATGGTGTGGCAGACGTCGAATTCTTGGTCATAGATGGCGCCACTGGAAAACAAGAACCCTCTGCCTAAAACAGGCATACGTCAACAACAACAACATACTCTTTGAACTTGAAATAAATGACGGCATGTTATACTAATTGGCCTGTGATGCCACAATAGGCATTACATATTTCTTAGCTTTTAAAATTTCTTTCATTTCTCGAACTTATTTTTTTTCCTCATTCTTAATCGAATTTTAGTCCCGCAGTGGACTGATCGTTAAGACACGGCTCCCAGCAGATCACCGAAGTCAAGCATCACTGGCTACGGTCAGTGTGCGGGTGGGTGACCTCTTGGATCAGCCTGCGTAGGGACCGAGGATGTGCGGTATTTTTGTCCTCGTTGAACTGTTCTATCGCAAAGTGCTCGACTTCACGTGCAGGTCGTCGCGCTACCGAAGCGGGGGTGCCAACCCCTCCGCAGAGGATCAAAATTGTGATGGCATGTCTTCGGATCATCCTCCGGGATGTTTCCCAGACCGTCGCCAATAGCCCATTGTGCAGCTCTAGTGCGACATAAATGAACAACAACAACAATAATCGAATTTTAATTAAATTAAACTAACTATCTAATTTTTATTACTATCTAATTTTAATTTTTATTTAAAAGTGAATATAAAATATTTTATTCCTTTTCTTAACAATCAATGCAACTTTTGATTTAAATACTCATTCACTGTCACGACGCAATCGAAAACAAGAATCCATAACTCTTTACTATTTCTTACCACGAAAATGTTTCAGTCACATGGTTATACCAATTCTCAGTCTTTTTTGGTGATTCGTTTTCGCCACATTATTCTCAAATTTATGTTGATTGGCTTTATTTTTGATCTTTTTCGATAAATCGTGATGATCGATAGTCGATAAATCAACCATGGATCTCTTCCCATGCTCCTAACTGTCCGTTGGGAGTTTGGACAGGGAAGCCTTTGTGCCTCACAGTCCCAACCGTTGAATATCTGTGTGAACAGAAAGTCTCCATGTTAAGAGAATGATTTTTCTTGATCCCTTTAAGGAACTTTTTCTCTTTATTTTTATATTTTTGAATGCGGCCATATTCTATTTAATATTTATTTAATAAATCAATTTTTCCTAAACGATCTTATTTATTATTCTGGGATAAATAGCCCTTCATCATATCCCAATTAAGATGTATATAAAACAACCAAAAATAAGCTTAGTGATGCTACCTCATTTAACTACTAAATTGGATTGATAACCACAACCATAAGGCCTTAAGGAGATTTTCAGGTCAAAAGGTCCGATTTAAGCTCGTTTTTTTTTAAAAAAATTTTCACTGAAATGAAAGAACAAATTATGTAATGATTTTGTTTTGTCACCTTTCAGTTACGTTTTGAATTTGTTTTCTAGCCGGAAATAATTACAAATTAACACAAAAAATATGGTAGTGCGCACCAGGCACTGAAAGATGGAAATTAGCTGCATAATACTGTAACCACCATGTATAATCCCTACAGGCCATGCTGTATAATCTGAAGCACAAATTAATGATTATGTATGAATGAAGCTATGGTTATAACCAAAAAGAGAAAATCTGAAAAAAATGTCAGTTTTTCACAAATGAAAAAAAGAAAACAAAAATCGACTTTAAACGCACTTCAAAAACATTTTTAAATGATGGAAAGTGCTCCATTTTTTTTGGTTCCAACCATAGTGACATCAAAACCGATTGAGTTGTTTTTCTGTAATCCAAACAAAGAAGACATAAAATATGAAAACAAAACAACGAAAACATGATTTTCTGAAAATCGCGTTTTAAGTTTTTATTATATTCCGCTTCTGTTTTTTTGGGACTTACCTCCGATGCTTAAGTCATATCATCCTCGAATTAAATTAATTACATTTCGTTGGGATATATTGCTTCCTTCCCGGGGCCGCAAATGAGCCTCTTTGTTTCAGGTAGACGCGATTTGCTTTATGCCTCTTGGAAAACTGAAACGTCATGTTTCCAATTCGAATATCCATGACATACATTTTCCTGGTAATCCCCATCAAACCGCCTTTGAATATCACCGTAACCAAATTTTAAACGATTTTGAACATATCTTGTGAACATATTTTGACAATTTTTAACATATCTTTACCGTAAAAGATGCGTTTTGGAGAAGCCCTGATCGACGCGGAAAAAAAACGATCCGATTATCACGTTTTCCCAACTATATCGAATAGTTTCCCCATATCAAAAAGGTTTCGCCCACCTATACCCAATAGTATAAGGTTTCAAAATATGTAATGAAAAAAATCGATTTTTTAAAAAAATAATTTTTTAAGATAATTTATGGAGCTACAATAATTTAATTTGAAAAAAATTTTTTAATTTTCAGATGGTTTGATTTCCTAGTTAACGACATACTGCATTAATTAACAATTGGTAACGGATATACCGTTAATGATCATGCCAAATCAGTAACTTGCCCCCCCCACTTCAGTTTAGATCGAACACTTTTTTTATTTCCTATGAGCTGCACAATCGGTCTTGCCGATAAACAGACCTAGTGCGTTCTTCAGAGGTAGTATCCACTCCTTCAGGACCACCACAATGGGTGAGATACCGTTGGTCATGTTGTTTTGGGCGTCTAGTTTCTGTCACACTAGATGGCAGCACCGAGACTCTATTTTGGATGCTAAAGTGCACTGGGAATTTAATTTTGCCGGAAGTGCCAAGAGCCAATAATTCACTCCAGGGATCTTTTAAATGCCGCATAATCATACGACATGGCCGCTGACGATTTTCTGCATCCCGAAAATCCGGTGTCGAACTCGCAGACTTGGGCTCAGAAGGCCGACGATAAACCAACTGCGCCACCCAGCCAGTTAGATCGAATAATAGATGGCAGTATTAACAACCTGTCTCCACTCGAGTCGTGGTGGCTCAGGGGATAGAGCCTTCACCGTCCATTGAGCTGTACCCGGTTCTAATTCCAGCTATGGCTGGTCGATGCGAATTTCGCATCCAGCTTACACAGACAAAAATTGGGTCAGCTGTTCAGCGACGGTAATAATTACCTGTCTCCGCACCGCGCTCTTCCCACTGTACGTAGACTTCTGTGAATCTGAAATTGACATTTCAATGAAGTGGAGTGGAAAATATGTAATCCCCTCTGTAACTCCAAAATAAGATAACGCTATAACGAGGGAGAAAATTTTCATGGCCAATTCTGCTTCGAAACCTTTATTTTCCTCTACTGTTGCTGCTATTATTGCTAGACCTTAATTTTAGACCCACAATATCAACTCTCATTTTATGGTTATTTGACAAGCATTGAAATAATAAAAGTTATGTTTTGCATGGAGTTACCTTTGGATAAGCGAATTTTATAATTGTGTGCAAAAAATTTTCAATTCACTTAAAAAGTTCTGGACTTATGGTGAAGTAAGCAAAAAGCGAAATAGACATTAAGGGGCCCGAATTTTGGACCACTCTCCTGACCAGACTACTGGGACCTTATTTCCCAGATGGCGACTACCCGCTATATTTTGGGGGTCAGAAATTCACATCTGTCGATAAAAGTTATGTTTATTCAGAGAAAGTACGTTTTTGTGTCTGATTTCGTAACTTAAAATGTCGTTTGCACATATTTGAGGTCACCCCTTTGAACTATTTAGATTGACTAATAGAACGTGACGATTCGAACATTAGATCAAGAGTTATTTAGGGTGGCCCGTTTATTTATTATTTTTTTCTTTCTGCGCACTGTACATCACAGATGTGTGCATGTCTTCAGAACACTAAAAGATAAAATGGTTCGTACGCTATCAATTTAATACCACAAGGCTATCAATTTAGAACATTTTATTTTATTTTATAACCGTCGTTGAACAGCCGACCCAATTTCATGGGTTTACGACTACTTACGTTCAACTCCGTAGCCTTGTAATTTTGAACCAATCCAGAAGACAAGGAAACTCCTGGATCAGTACCCCCAGAGGTATTGATTTGTTGTGGGAACATGGAGGACTTTGAGACTCGACAGATTTAACGTGCATCAGTCACCATTTACTACACGGGGAGTCTTCGGCCGGCGAGGATCGAACCCACTATCTCTTGGATATGGGCCCAGCGCCCTACCGATCGTTGACTTTTAATGTAACATCGAAAAAGATTAATTTAAAAAAAGATACGGAGTGATTTAAGCAAAATGAACATCGCATTACAAATTTTAGTTTATTTTGTAAAATAAAAAAATAGTGGGTGGAGTCCCTCTGCGCGGAAGAAGTTAAATTTCGTAATGTGGAAATGAAAATAGGAAGAGGTAGAAATTGATTTTTAGTGAAATCATATTGTTTCTTTAAGACAAACCTTATTAACAATGCTTACAATTCACAATGGATCGAATCTTTTAATTATCATTTTCGAGTGGAGAAATATCCAAATCTATAACATTTACAATGGGATAATGATAACTAAAGTAAGATACGAAATGTTCTATTTTCTCAATATTTCTTGCAAAAACTGCATCAATGGTAATTCCCCCTGTTGGATCCTTCCCACCATTTATCATTTCAAATCCAAATTTGTCTTTAAGGAAGGTTAATAATGTTTCAGGTAACGAGAAATTCACATTAAAATCTCCTGCAAGGATCACAGGCCGCTCATTGCCATGGTAGCGTTAAACGTTTAACGCAACCTTGTCGGAAGTCGCATTAGAAGTTTCACTTCAATAAAAAGTTTGAAAAATGGAAAATAATGTCCATTTTTTATACATAAATTTTGAGTTATGTCCGTTTTCTTAAAGATGAATTCTGGGATGTGTCCAGTATAATGCGCTTACCGTTGAAATGAAGAAAAATACGCAAGAAGAAATCATAACAAAAACAATTTTCCAAATAGCAAATATTGCATTTTAAAAAAACTATCAATTTTATATCCCTTATTTTTCAACAAAATTATCGACATTTTACTCAATGTTCCACCGTAACGCAACGCAAATCATTAATATTAAAGTAGCGGCCATGAAACACATTTTTAAAATGAAATGCGTGTTAATTGATTATTTGAAATGACGATAAATTATTCATTGACCATTTACGGAGGACAGACGCTGTACCGAAATTGATCGGATTTTCTTTCTACTGGACAGAGGCTATTAAATAAAACAGACGATAATGAAATTAAAAGCAGAACAAAAACATAATTTTCGCTTGTTTTCAAAACAGAAAATCTTGTCCTTAATAAAAATACATATAAATTTTTAAAGAAAAAAATATATTTATTTTATTATTAGGCTATCATTTAGGATTTCTATTTGAATACAATTGGTTATCGAAATGATTTTAAATGGATTGAAAGGTTTCAAATCATCTTATTGATTATGTAATCAATATTCCTCACGTGCGATGAAGACATCAAAAGATTGCTTTCGTGCATATATTAGAAAATTGCTTTTCGAGATGAGTCGCATGTTTCAGCTTTTACGACGCTTTCGTAAAAGATAATTAGATTATGACGAGCTGCGTAGACATTGTATCTGAAATTTTTTTAACTGAATCTCGATAAATTTATTTCTAATAGATCCGTTATAGGGTTTTACGTTAGCCATTCTGCCATAATCTTTTAGAGAATACACCTGGTAGCGCTTTGGTTTTCAGAGAGGAAAGTATGGGGAAAGTAAACGGACACTATTTTCGCAATGTGCTGGATAATAACAGAGTCGTTGATATTTCCAATAAAAATGCCAGAAGAATGTTTGCTTTTGAAGATGAAAAAAAACTAGAAAATTCATCAGCGAATTCACGCGAAGAAATTCACACTTTGAAGGTGAGCGCAGTCGGTAGTTTTCCTCAAAACTACGATACTCGCTTACGTCGAATCAGTCAAGAAAAATCTACTAAAAACGACGAAACGGAAGAGGCCGATCTGAAGAGCTTGACGACGACATTCTTCAAGAAATCTTCGATATACGCTTTGAATCAGATCGGAAACTCCCGCACCACCAGAAGGAAAGTATTCTGGGCGCTGATCTTGATCGGTGGTCTGATCGGTTGCGGTTCTCAAATATATCGATATCTCTCGGCTTATTACTTGTACCCAGTGGTGGTGAACATCGATTCGAAAAGCGTTTTCAATCAACACTTCCCGGCGGTGACGGTGTGCAATTTGAACAACGTTCGCAGGCAATATCAACCCTGCCTGTGGCAAAAACTGAACTATAAAGAGTGCAACATCACTTTGTTTGACGAGGAATTCGGTCCTGAGTTTACGGAACAGATGGAACTACCGCCGTGCCTCGACGATCGCAACATACGACTGGCAGATGAAATTAAACACCAGATCAAGTTCACCAATTTGTATTCTTCTGTCGATGGCGAGAGCAGGATGCATTACGGACACCAACCCGAAGACATGATTAAATCCTGCTCCTTCAACGGGGAGGAATGTTCTTACCGACAGTTTACCATTCATTCGGACGACGTGTTCGGGAATTGTTATTCGTTCAACCAGGTATCAGGCGATAAAGAGCCCCGTAGAACAGCCTTCGTGGGGCCGAATTCCGGCCTCACCTTGGAAATGGACGTCCAGAGTGCTGACTACTCGTGGCTAACTAGATCTGTGGGTGCCAGAATTGTCATACACGATCCCTACCAGGAGCCATTCCCTCAAGAACAGGGCATCAACGTCGCGCCAGGTTTCGAAACCATTCTCGGACTCTCCAAATCATCCATGGTCAGACTGCCCGACCCTTACAAGGACCACTGCAAAGCTTACGAGAGGAACAACAGTCAGAAACAGTGCAATATGGCGTGTTTCGAGGAACGGATAGCGGAACATTGCTCTTGCTACGTGAAGAGGAAGACGAACGAAACGGACAGATACTGCGACTTCACGAACGGAGCGGATTTCTGCTGCGTTCACGACGCTAAAGTGGAAGAGGGTGGATCGTGCTCGTGTCCACTGGAATGCGAATCGTCGCACTACAACGTGAAGATTTCCAGCGCCATCTGGCCGCTGACGAGCAAGAATGTCGGTTCGGATCTGCCGATTGAGGAGATACGCGAGAACATGCTTAAAGTGAAAGTTTATTTCGACACGTTGGAGCAGCTCATCTATCAGCAGAAGGCCATGTTCGACGATGCGGAGGTTTTGAGCCAGATTGGCGGACAAATGGGATTGTGGCTGGGCCTTTCGCTGGCTGCAATGTTCGAATGCGTCGAGAATGTTGTCCTCCTATGGTACTACAAGAATAAGTGAACTGCTTTCTTTTTTTTGAAACACCGTTTGTATTCGCACCATTCATATTCATTTTCTGAATTCTTGCAAAACTCTAAGCTCAATTAGTATTTGAAGTAAAAAGGATCTCATTATTTTTAAAGCCAAGTGGAGGATTTATTATAAAATTATATTTAAAAGAATTTAATTTATTTACTTAGTTTGTCTGGAATTCACACGATTTTGATTTTCAACCTTAAATAAACAGTTTATTATTATCATTCCAATCCCATCTTTTGGCATAAATAGTGTTTATAAAGGTAAATAATGTGAAAAAAGCGCAAAAGAGGAAATATCTATACATATATTTCTCTTACACGGCGTCAAAAAATCCTCATTACAACTCCCCGAAGGGCAACGCTAGAAAATCGACCCATGATTGCCGCTATAAATGTCACATGCCAAATCTAGCTGAGGTGGCTCAGCATATAGCGCTTTTAAAAACGAAAACTGAAATAACCAGAGAGAGCATTCTCACCAAATATGAAGTTTTAGCGAATTACATGTCATTTATTTGAATTCAAATTTATTTTAATGACTTAGTATTTACTAAAAAGGTGTAATTTTAAAAAAAAAAAATTGTTATATGGATTGGAATGATTGTTTGGAATTCGTGATCGCAACGAACTATAAGGGGCGTTGTTGTATGAGACGAATTATTACTCATTATTTTCCCGAGTCGAGTAGAGCAGTGTTCCGCAACCCCCGGTTCCGCGGACCGGTACCGGTTCGTGGATCAAATTGTACCGGGTCGCCCATTTCATTGAAACTAAATTAAAATTCTTAGGTTTTTATCCCAAATTAAAAATATCCATTAAAATTTTATTTATTTAAAAGATTATTAAAGCTCCCGAAGTAGTGACATAAATTTTTTGATGCTTGTAATGTATCATTGTCTCCGATTACCCCCAGGTCCCGCAGTGGACTGATCGTTAAGACACAGTTCCCAGCAGATCACCGAAGTGAAGCATCACTTGCTGCGGTCAGTGTGGGGGTGGGTGACCACTTGCATCAGTCTGCGTATGGACTGAGGGTGTGCGGTATGGGTCCTCGTTAAACTGTTCTACCGTAAAGTGCTCGACTTCGCGTACAGGTCGTCGGGCTACCGAAGCGCGGGAGCCATCCCCTCTGCAGAGAATCAAAATTGTGATGGCATATCTTTGGATCATCCTCAGGGATGTTTCCCAGACCGTCGCCAATAGCCCATTGCGCAGCTCTAGTGCGACGTAAATTAACAGCAACCCCCAGATGGAACCGTCTCATTGCAAAGAAACAAGCGTAGGGTTCTCATTGACTTAACGTTCTAACGTATCACTTTATATTTATTTTTTGATGTAACTGTATTTTATTTCGAACGCATGCTTAAATACCATTTGATTAAGATTAATAAATCAAAATAATCTAAAGTATAAACAATCAACGTCCCCCCCCCTCCAGCAGGCCGTGGTAAAATTATCAAACTTTGACAGGTCCGCGGTGATAAAAAGGTTGGGTAACCTGAAGTAGAGGACTCACGTTACAATTATAATTTTAAAAAAAATCAAATTTATTTACTTAGTTAGGACTAGAATTCACACGATTTTGATTTTCAACCATAAATGAACTGGATTTTATATCTTTCTAATCCCATATTTTCACATAAATAGTGTTTATGAAGGTGAATAATGCGAAGGGAAAAAAGCGCAAATAATGTCACGTGAGCAAACATACTATTGTTTCGATTTAGTGATGAAAAACTTTCCCCTCAATGTTCAAATACAAAAAAAAGAAGAACTATATAAAAGAAGAAATATATATGTTACCGGCAAAGTATGAAATCCGGCATTGTATAGAATGCCTAAAATTAGCCGGCAAAGTATGAAATGATTTATATTTCGCACAATTCCTAGGCATTCTGTAGATTGCCAAATGAGAAACCGGCAAAGTATAAAATACATCTCTGATTTGTTTCAAATATCACTTGGCAAGGCTCGTGACTTTTAACGCGTGACTCGTGACTTTTGACTAATAACAAAAATTATTTTTTTACTGTGCTACATAAAAATGGAGGAATTTAATGAAATTTACATGGAAAAATTTAATGAAATGTAATTCAAAATGTCATTCAAGCCTGCCATGTACACAACAAGTAGGTTAATTTCATATTTTTTATATGAAAATTTTCTTTCCCTTAATAAGAAAGGCTTAAATTTTGTTTTGCATAACTTTTGATTTTCTTTCCACATTTTGAATAAATATTTTTCAATGGCATTTTCAGTATTTTTTCAGAATAACATTTTTATTTTTGAGAAATGCATGTTACTGTGAATGACTGAAATCGGTAGTTTTACATTTATTCGATATTTTAATACTTACTCATGATAGATCAGAAGAAACATCAGTGTAAGGTATAGCGGGTAATAGCACTTGACCTTAAAAAAAACATCAGTGTAAGGTATAACAGGCAATGGCACTTAACTAGAACTAGTAAGACTGGACCTTTGGTAAGTGTCCGAAATATATACTAGGTTTAGTTAAGCGCCATTGCCCGGTATACCTTACACTGATGCTTTTTTTAGGTCAAGTGCTATTGCCCGGTATATCCTACACTGATGTTTTTTAAGATCAAGGGTCACTGCCTCCGGTATACATTTGCCCGATACTCCAAGCACTGATGTTTCTACTAATTTTTCGTCAATAAGTATTAAAATATCGAATAAATGTAATTATATCCATGAATAAATTAATATCATATCGAATGTAATAAATATTTCGGACATTCAACAAAGCGACTGTGTGATTTTCAACAATCACCGGTGAAAGTCAACAACCACCGAGTTCGCCCATTCACAGTAACATGTACATCATTTACATCATAACCTCATCAGGACGTTTATTTCCTACTTTGCCTAAATAGCATCCGGCATTGTAATTAATACTTTTCACATTTCGTACTTTGCCTAAAAGCGTCAGGCATTCTATACAATGCCGGCGTTTCATACTTTGCCGGTAACATATATATATGTTATCATGAATGACCGAATGTCGACTTTCACCGGTGAATGTTAACAATCCCATAGTTACTTTGGTGAATGTCCGACATATTTATTAAATCCGATTTGATACTAATTTATTTGCTGATATATTTATTCGATATTTCAATAGCCGCTGATTATAGATTAGGAGATCATACATCAGTGTTCGGAGTACCGGTTAAATGCATACTGGGCACTTAAAACAGCAGTGTAGGGTATACCGGGCAAATGAGTACTGAGCATTGGCACTGAACCCTAAAAAACATTTATGTAAAACATTAAACCCGTTTATAGGGCGGACCGATTCATACATTCATTCACAGATCGTAATTTTGACCTGAATCCGAGAACGATCGATCTAACCAATCCAGTACCCCCAGAGGTATTGATTTGTTATGGGAACATGGAGGACTTTTGCGACTCTACAGATTTAACGTGCATCAGTCACTTTACTACAGTCTTCGGCCGTCGGGGTTCGAACCCACGAACTCTAGGACATGGGCACAGCGCCCTACCGACCAGGCTATCCCGGGTCTAAGAAATATAATATATATTTGTCCTATCTGATTTGATATTAATTTATTCGATGATATTATTATATTTATTCGATATTTTAATATCAGCTGAGGAGAGAAAAGGAGAAATATCAATGCTCGGAGTGGCACTAATCCTTAAAAAAACATTAATGTAGGGAATACCGGGCAATGTATACCTGGTAGTGGCACCTAATTAGATCTAGTATATATTTCGGACAATTACCAAAGCGACTATGCGATTGTCAACATTCACCGGTGGAAGCCAACAACCACCCATTTCAGCCATTCACAGTAGCATATATATATTTAAAAATTTATTAAACTAATTAACAGATATTAAATGTTTTGCAACCATAAGTAAATCTATAAAATTATAATTATTAAATTGGGTTACTAATTAAAGCTAAATCTCTTGTGTTAAAAATCATCATTTCTGAGAAACATTTCGCATAAATTAAAAATAAGAAAAATCTGGTATTTTTTTTTCAAGCAATGTGTGCTCACTTTTGTTTAGTTTAATGAAAATGGTTTTTATTAAGAAAATGTAAAGACGATTTAAAAAAAAATATCGTTATAGAATGGCATAAACATTTTCAAACAAGCTTCAATATTAAGGAAAATGCAACGAACTCCATGCAGGACAAAAATGTTAACAACGATAATAGCTAAGGAAATAGTAAACAGAAGAAAAACTTTAAAAACAAAATATATGCAAAATGAAATTGTTAAAAAACATACAAAGAGCAATGTTCGTTTTGCAAAAGCAAATAAATAAATAAATAAATATAATATTTTGTAGCAAATGCATTTCAAAAGCAGTTCGTCGCTTTGAAATGTATATGAACTGTAAATACAACTGCTGAATTCAATTCTTAAAACACAACAGCACTAAAATATATACACGGGTTTGTAAAATNTGTTATATTAAAAAAAGATCATTTTCCAAGTTTCAAGTATTAATGATAAAATATTTGTGATATACTCAAGTATTTGATATACTCAAGTAATACTCAAGTATTTGTGATGAAAATGATAAATAAGGTTTATCAATTGTCAATACGTTGGTCATTTTCATTTACACCTGAAAAAACAGTCAAAAAACATAATTTTTGTAACTGGGCGGGGCTACCCGACACATTTTAAAAAGAGCTGAAAAACATGTTTTTTTTTTTAAATTTCTATTTTTTTTAAGTTAAATTATTCTTTTTTGGTTTATTCCTTCTGCATCATTTAATTAGATGGTAAAAAAATAGAAACATCACAAAAATATTGATTATTACTCAATATTATACCGAAATATAAGCAATACTCATTAAGTGGGCGGAGCTACCCGACTCTTCCCTACATCGAAAACAATACCTCATTTATTTAATCATAATATCACTATTCAACAAATCCAGCAGTCATCATTGCCTATTTTCTAACGCCAACGAAGAATAATTTGTTCAATCCAAATAAATGTAATCATATGTCATTCAGATTGTTGATTAGTGTGCAAAAGAAATTAGTGAAACTTTAAGATTAGGAGGCGAACTTATAAAAATAATGAATGCAATTCTAAGCAGTAATTGTTTTTGCATAGTTCTTCTATAAATCAAGCTGTATTTCATTTAATTCAGTTAATTATTTTAAACGTCTAAATTTACAGTAACACATCATTATTCTACTTGTAAAACCCTGTTCATAAACTAATTTTTATTTATATGAAACAGCTACGCATTATTTACAGTAACACATTATTATTCTACTTATGAAACCTTGTTCAAAAACAAATTTTTATTTATATGAAACAGCTACGCATTATTTACAGTAACACATTATTATTCTACTTATAAAATCTTGTTCATAAACTAATTTTTATTTATATAAAGCAGCTACACATTATTCACAGTAACACATTATTATTCTACTTATAAAACCTTGTTCATAAACTAATTTTTATTTATATAAAACAGCTACACATTATTTACAGCAACACATTATTATTCTACTTATAAAACCTTGTTCGTAAACTAATTTTTATTTGCATAAAACAGCTTTTAAAATTATTTTCCGGATTTGGAGCTCAATTTTTTCCTTAGCATATAATATGAAACAGACAAAGAACTGAAATAGAATGTTTCCGATTCTTATCTGAATAAATAACGGGAGGTTTCTCTCAAATATTAATATTCTACCGGAAACAACTCCACCCAAAACTCTTCCTTATCACAAAACAACATCGTTTTATTTTTACCTTCAACGAATGTCACTACATCCCCCGTCATTTAGAACGGCCACATTCAGACGATTTTAATGGCATTTAAGAATCAACTCAACTCGGGCTCGTAAGACGTTCTTTTCCTAACTGAACATTCACAAGTTTTGACACATATTGCATTTAGTTTTTCAGAGCAATTCCATAAGAGAAAAATAAAACTATCGAAATCGAATATAACATAAATGTATGATCATTCCGAAATCATTGATTACCCGGATGACGTTGACATTTTAAACGACATGATGAGGACTGATTCGTGCTTGAAAATGCTTGAAAATTCGTCCATTCCGGCACTTTCGAGAATCGGACAATCGAAAACGGCGAAGAAGAGGCTTTTTTGGATTTTCATTTTCGTGGCCTGTTTGTGCGGCGGCTGTTACGAAACCTATAGCTTCTTGCACCTTTACTTTCAATATCCGGTGCTCATAGACATCGGGGTGGTGCAGCAGGAGAGAGGCACTCAATTCCCAGCCGTCACCGTCTGCAATCTCAACAATGTCATGTCCTATCACGCTCAGTGCGTGTTCGAAAATACACGCTGGCAGAACTGCAAAAGTGTTAAATACAGACGACCCGGTCACCGCCTACTCAACACACTCAGGAGAAAGTACAGAAATTGGTGGAAGCAACTCAGTGAAGACGATTCACAAAAAACTCAACATTTCGTGAAAAATTATCTCAGCTTGGACAGCGAGAATCGAGGACGTTACGGTCACCGCCTCGAAGACACCCTTCGGAAATGCACCTTCCAATCGAAAGCGTGTGACGAATCGCATTTCACCCCCCATGTCTCATTGCAATTCGGAAATTGCTTTACCTTTAAAACTGACGAGAACGATCCTCTCCTCGGAGGGGGGCTGGAGCTTCATTTAAATGTTCAAGAGCAAGATTATGTACCCTTCACCGCTGAAACAGGATTCCGAGTGACGATTCATGACCCGGAGGACGATCCCAATCCTGAGGAAACAGGGTTCAATGTCAGTCCTGGCTCTGAAGCACTGGTTAGGCTGGTGAAAAGTACACTGTACAGATTGCCATCCCCGTACAGGGATCATTGCAAGGATTATCAGGACGAACTTAACAGTCCAAACGATAAAATTTTCAGAAAACTTAGCGAAACAGGAATGATTGACCAGAGCAGCCAAGAAGACCCGAGAGAAAACTTCAAAACTAAATATCTTGTGGATAATTATTTCACGATGACCAGGAGTAACGAAAATGTGACAAAGAACAGTAATCAGTTTTCTGTGAATAATCTCAGGATTATCTGTAATCAGTTAGAGAAAAACAGCACGACTGCAGAAAAATACAACAGGATGAGTCATCAGGGTTCAAATCATATTCTAAACGACAGTATTATTAAACTGAAAGAAGACGATAATAGAGACAACGAAGCTTTCAGCCCGATGCATCTCGTGGAAAACAACGTGAAAGCAAGCAGCCAGACAGACTGCATACGTGAATGTATGTTAAAATACAGTTTGAAAAAGTGTTCTTGCGTGGATCCCTTCCTGCCACATACTGGATTTCCGCCTTGTGAATTGAAAAACGAAACGCAAATGACCTGCTTGGATAATTCAGTGGATGACTTAGAAAAGAGTGGTTTGCCCTGTGATTGTCCATTGCCTTGTTTAAGTACCTGGTACAATCACAAAGTCTTTTCATCTAGATTGTATTCCAGTGGATGGCAACAGCCGTCTCTGTTGAGCTCTGAGGATTTTGAATCGTTTCTGAATTTCTCTGGAAAGAAACGGGGAAGTTCCTCCGTGGACGATCGAGTGATACTTCGAGTGTCTTTTCAGAGTCATGATCACGTGATCTATAAACAGAGAGCAATGTTTTCCGATTCTGAATTATTCGCACATGTCGGAGGAAGTTTGAGCTTGTGGTTGGGACTTTCCCTGGTTTCTTTAGTGGAATTCGTAGATCGTTTTATTCTAGTGTGTAAACTGCGCACGAGTAAGAGACGCCATAATTATATTTGAATATATGAACGGTTTGCAATAATTTAAACTTTAATCTGAATCATACCCACCACAGTGAAAATAAGAATATAGTATAAAGAAGGAAATTGTTCGATTTTGATTATATTCATGATTAAATAATACTGGTAAATAATACTTGCTTGATTGAATAATGCTGGTTTCTTTAGTAGAATTCGTAAATCCTTTTATTCTAGTGTGTGAGCTGCGCATGAGTAAGAAACACGTTAATTATATTTGAATTTATGAACGGTTTGCAATCATTTAAACTTTAATTTGAATTATACCCACCACAGTAAAAATAAGAATTTAATAAAGAAACTGTTCGATTTTGATTATATTCATGATTAAATAAATATTTTCAGCTTGAAAGAAATGGGAAAAACAATTTAAAGTCTTTGTATTAATTACTTTTTGACACATAACAGATACTTATATTGAAATGGATTCTTTTTTTAAAAATTAAATAAAAACTTAAACGACACACGAGAATAATAATAAACGTCATTAAAACCAAAAGAATTCTTGAGAAGAAAATTTGTTTTGATTGAATTAAATTAGCTAAACTATTTCACATCATAGGTTTGAATTTTTATGGATTTCAATGCATATACATTAACAAAAATCTACCAGGCATCTTAATTACATTTTTTTTTAAAAATTCCAATAAAAATGCAGATGTGATACAAAAAGATTTTCATTTTTCGGAAAAAAAACTAAAAATTCTGTCTGATATGTGTTTTTTTTATTCAATTCCTACTATTAGTTCACACTCTTGTTCAAATTTTCAGTCGTTCATAAAATACTTTTCATTCATCCTCTCAAGTTTAAATTTTCTTTTTTGTAAAACTTGTAGTGGGCAACACTCGATGTTTACACAGTTTTTTCAAATATTAATTCTTTCATTAAATAAACATGTGCGAAAAACGAAATGCAATTTTTTGATGGGTTAAGCGTTGGTCATTGTTTTAAATTTTACCTTAAGCGATTCAGTTTATCACCTATTTTAAAGATAACATCAGTGATCATTTCCAACTTATAGCTCTATTTGAGCAACAAAAAAAAAAGTTTATTGAGCACTTTTATAAATATTTAAGTATTTTATATTCTCTGTGTCAGATAAATTCAATACAGAACATGACGTGGTATCACGTGTGGTCCACGTCACCATGTTTATACTTTTATAGGTGTCCGATACCACAAGCTAGTAGGCTAAAGAAATAATGACATACACAAATATTTACAAAACAGATTTTTAAATTAATATATGATGCAATGGATGATGCAATAGTAATATTAATTTTTTGCCCCCCATTCTGCTTTTCTCACGATTGATGTTTCTTCTTTTTAAATGCTGTTCCTTTCCCCTCTTTACTTTGTCTCTTCCCCTCTCTTTCTCTCGGAATATTTAAAGAGTCTTTCTTTTATCTTATACCGAAGAAGAAGATTCGGTAATCTATTGGTGTTCCTTTGCAAAAGAAAAAATAAGTAAATTGAGTAAATACATCACTAAAAATCCAAAAATGCATATTAAACAAATGGTTAATATTTTTTACTGGAGTGATTTGTAATTTTTAAATCTTAGATGAAGTTAATTTGTTACAGTTTGTTTTATTTCAAACTCTAAGTATCTACATTCCATACTAATTTAAAAACAAAACTAAACAACAATAACTTCAATTATTATTATTATATTAGTTCAATCTGTATTAAAAAAAAAAGAAAAAAAATCTCCCCCTAATAATATATTTATTTTCTAAAAAACATAAATAAAACTCCTACCAAATGACACTATTTTACATGCATATTAAAAGAAAAATGAGAAAAATAGATTCTTTCAATTTCAATTAAATTATGACATTTTATTTTCTTCATTTTTCTGTTAAAGCAACTACTTATCTACCCACAAAACGTTATCCTAGTGATGCTAATTTTAATCTATTAACTGGGGTTCACGCAACTAAACCAAGGGGTCTAATAGTTTTTCTGCAATAATAGCTGCCAGATTACAGTTATATATAAAAATGAATTAGATACTTGCAGAATGAATAAGGCAGTTGTACGGAACCCAAAAGCGTAAACGAAGTATTTTTCATGCAGACAAAATGTTATTTTATAAATTAAAATAAGCAAGTTCATTATCAATGCCTTGATGGCCCAGGGTGGACCTTGGCCTTCTCAAGAAGTTTTTTTCAGGCTAGCCTTTTTTCCTGTTAGTGTTTTCCAGTTTTTAAGACCAACAGGTCTCTTTCTAGGTCATCTATTCATCTCGAATTCGGCCTGCCTCTCTTTCGTGTGCCAACTGGTCTGGACCGTACCACAAAAACTCATTTTGTGGTATGGTCTTCGTCCATTCTGATAACGTGGCCTGCCCATTTTATTCTTTGTCGTTTAATAAAATTAATAAAATGACAGGTTCATTACAGGAGTGATAAAACTCTAAATTTGTTCTTCTAAGCCAGACACCATTTTTTTTTTTTTTTTTTAATTCCTCCTCTAAAAATAGTTCTCAAGACTTTTCTCTCAAAGAAAATATGCAAGTAAATAAGAAATAAGAAAATAAGCAAGTTAATGACAAAAGTCTTATTTTTTTTCTCATTAAAATATGAAACAGTATACACTGTTACAGTAAGCATGAAAAATTTTAACACTATTTAAAGAAATATAAATTTTATCCTCAGTTTCATTTTTTAGTTAATAGATCGAGAAATTGAAAAGAGGCAGTTGTTAAGAACGCCTTCAAGATTTCTTTCGGAATTGAAAAATCGTTTTAATGTTTTTCATCTCCCCTTCTTTAAGCGTGTTTCGTTAAATTTGATAGCAGATTTTTTAAAAAAAAAAACTTGAAACTAATTTGCTATCCTGAGATGTTTTTGATTTCAATTCAATGGGATAAGAGCAATACTTTTATTTCGCCCAAATTATCTTGATTTTGTGTGGTTTAATAATTACCCTCAAATAGGACCAGGAAAATAAGTTATTAGTAGGAAGGTTAAAAGCAGATTTTTCTGCTTAAAACAAAACAAGAGAGGGTGGATAGTTTTAAGATAAAATAGTGGGTTTAATAGTGGGCTAAAGCACCGATTAAAGAACAGTGAGTTCACCTACTGATGTAAGGAGAGTGGGTTTAAGTTTTAAACAAAATAGAGTGAATTATAAAAATGGGTCAAATAATAGTGGGTTAGAGAACCGATTAAAGGAGAGTGGGTTCGAGTACCGATGTAAAGATAGAGGGATATAAAATGGGTCAAATGATAGTGGGTTGGAGAACCGATTAAAGGAGAGTGGGTTTGAGTACCGATGTAAAGATAGAGGGATATAAAATGGGTAAAANAACTACTCTCCCCACAGAATTATAAATATTGATCTAATGATAGCACCGATTAAAGGAGAGTGGGTTCGAGTACCGATGTAAAGATAGTGAATTCAAGTTTTAAACAAAAGAGAGTGGATTATGAAAATTGATCACATGATTGTGGATTCAATCACCGATTAGAGGAGAGAGAGAGTACCGACATAAAGATAGTGGGTTCAAGTTTGAAACAAAAATTCATGGGTTAGAAAAATTGATCAAATGATAGTGAGTTCAAGCACCGATTTAAGGAGAGTGAGTTCGAGTACCGAAGTAAATATAGTGGGTTCAAGTTTTGAACTAAAAGGAGTTGATTGTCGAAATTATCAAATGATAGCAGGTTTAAGCGCCGATTAGATTATAGTGGGTGCGAGTACCTATGTAAACAGGGTGGGTTCAAGTTTTAAACAAAAGAGAGTGGATTACAAAAAATATGGAAATAAATTAATCAAAAGAGAGTGGTTTTTTAAAAACTGATCAAATGATCGAGTATCGATGTAAATGTAGAGGGTTATAAAAATCGATCAAATGATTGTGGGTGCAAGAACTGATTAAAAGAGAGTGGGCTCGAGTATCCTAATTCAAGCATAAAATCACGTTTCCCGTATATCATCTGTAAGAGGGGACCATACCCCCAATTAACCCATTTTTGTTTTGTTTATTCCCAACTGTTTCATACTTTTCGATTCTAACGAGTGTTAAGCACGATCATCACGTGTGTATCACAATCGTTAAATAGTTATCTGTTTTGTATTGTATTTATACTATCAAATTTCATTAAAATCGCAGCAGTAGTTCTAGAGAAAATCAACCCATTCTGCAAATTCTCTTAATTTCTGACACCAGTGCATATATATATATATATATATATACAATAATATAC